GAGATGTAGTGGTGTCTGGGTCTTACTGCCAGCCTATCTTCGATCCGACTTTGGGTACTCTAGCCCAATGCTATCAAATGTTGCCAAGCCCTGAATTATGCAGTACTAGGTCAGTGGCTACTTACCAAGGAACTGCAATGTACAAACAGAGGTCTTTTATGTATATAACAACTTCATTTAATATGAAATAATCTCCCCAACCCCATGTATGCAAAGGCTTGTAAACCTACTACTACGTCCGGTCAATACCTTGCAATCCCTTACATAAATGAAGAAACAAGTCTTGGTTCCTTAAGACCACAGTGGCCACATCTACATGAGACGCTGACTGCACTCATTTAGTACTTGTATAAACTTATATAAACTAGTACTAAATGACTACACAGTAACTGGAATTACTGTACGGTAGTGTCGTTGAATGGCTTTTAGGTGACACTGATTGCATAGTATCTCATTACTGTTGTGCAGTACTGTCGTGTCACACTTCAGGCCACGTCACATTACTGCTCAGTAGTAATGAGGTACTGTGAAGTCAATGTCTTGTGTAGACACAGGCAGTTGGTAGTTAGTCCAGCAGTGGCAGCATCATTAATTTGGAACTGCTGGTTTTTTCATTCACTAAATCAGAGATTTAAAAATACAATAGCCAAAACCAAGATAATTTACTTCATGATAAAATAGGCCTCCATTCTACAGGTATTCTAATGTCTGATACTGCCTAACCAAACATGGAAGTTTTTTCATTATTAAAACCTGGATACCATTAATTCTCAGAAAACACTGAAAATTATTTTTTCTGCCAAGTCAGTCCCATAACATTTTAAAAAATACATAGACTGACACCATTTTTCACACTGTTGTAACAAATGGCTCAATTCTACAATTATGTTGAGGTTAAGAGGGGCTGGTAGATGCTCAACATTTTTGAGAATCACACCACATGTTTAGATGCCTAAGTACAGATTCAACTCCACATTTTAGCTATACATTTCCATTTCTTAAAATTTTGGCTTTAGTTTTCTATATATATCAACTACCACATAGCAGCTTGCATAGCACACTGTAGTCTTAAAAAGCAACTTTGGTATCTATTTATTATTTCATTTTTGACATACTATCTTATCCAGATTTTTGGCTTTTCTTTAAATGAAGATGCAAATGATTGAATTATCCAGTATTAATCTTAAGTAACTTAAGTCAAATAAGGAATTTATATTTGTAATACAAATTATTTTTGCCTACGATTTTTGAATGAATGAACAAATTAATCAATGACAACATTAACAATACGGCAAATGTATTTCTGAAAGAAAGCTAATATTTACAGTTTCAATGTCTTGTTTTGCTCTCTGCATTACTTCCAAGGGTGTCCCTTCTAAGTTTTTTCTTGTTTTCATCATTTGTATATGCCATTTGATGCACTGTTTCACTTTCTTTTCTCTGGATGCTCTAAATAAACACAATTATTTTCTTTCTTTTTTGTTTACTGGAGTTTCCACTTCCAATACAGTCTAAAGCACCTGTTGCATTTTCACACACACAAAAAAAGAAGAGTAGAACAAAACCCAAAACTGATTTCCTTTCCATATGGTTAACCTGGCTCTAAGACTATGGTGAATGTTTTTCTATCATCTTTAATTACAGCAAAAGGACTTGCAGGACTGAAATTGACTACAAGTCAACAGTCTGCTATTGCAAAACAGCCAATGGCATACTAGGATGTATTAACAGGAGTGTTGTGTACAAGTCATAGAAAGAAACTCTTACAGTTCATTCAGCACTTGTGATACCTCACCTGAAGTACTATGTCCAGTTCAAGGAAACCACACAAAATGGAAGAAGTCCAGCAGAGAAGAAACAAAAAAATAACTAGAGGTCCAGGATTCATCAGAAAAGGTTTGAAGGACTGGATGTTTTAGTCTGGAGAATGTAAGAGTGTAATAGACTGTTCTCTCTGTCGTCAGGGGGCAGACATCCAGGGGTTTAATTTGCCACAAGGGAAATTTAGTTTTGATATTAGGAAGACTTTAACTATGAAGGTGGTTAAGCATTAGAATAGATTACTTAGACAAGTTGCAAAATCTCCATCCTTAGAAGTTTTTAAGAGCAGGTTAGACAAGCACTAGGCTGAAATGGTTTAGGGAGGAATAAATCCTGCCTTGAGCAGAGAACTGGACATGATTAGATATCTTTCTACAGGACTTCCATCTGATACAGGGTTGAGGTTAAACGGTATTATGGGGAATGAATCAGAGCTGTGTACTAGAGCAGACTGTTATCTGTAGGATCCTTCCAGAAGATGAAAGGTATTTAGTTAGTAAGACAGCAGATTATAGGGCAAAAAAGAAGGGCCTTGTGGGTAAGTCAGGTAGATCCTGAAATCTGTCCCATCTTTTTCTTTGCCACAGAGTTCCTATGGATTGCTAATCAACAGGGGTGTGCGAAACGGGCTGTATTCGATTCAGATTCAGTCTGAATCAGGGGCAGTGATTTGATTCGTTGATTCAGATCACTGTCCCCAATTTGATTCGGCCAAATCTGAATCTGAAGATCCGATGCTGATTCGGAGAATCAGTGATTCAGCCATAGACACCGCTTTAAATGTTCTTTCTACATACCTTGAGGTATCAGGCACAGCTTGTGAATGATGCAATGGTGGGGCAGATGGAGCATCCCACATGAGCACAGGGAGGCCCCCCGCATGCTCAGCAGTGAACCTGGAAGTGGACCTGCTGCCAAGCGCACTGGAGACCCCCCCCCGGCTCAGCAATCGACCATGGGTGGACTCCAGGTGCCCCCCCAGGCACAGGAGGCACCCACAGGAGCAAGGGGCCCCCCTGCGTGCTCCCTGGCAGACCCGGAAGTGGACCAGAAATGCTTCTGATCCACTTCCGGGTCTGCTGCCGAGAGCGCTGGGGAGCCCCCCATGCTCCTGTGGGAAGCTCATTTGCCCCAGCATCTCAGCATTCATGAGCCACCTGGTACCTTGAAGTATGTAGAAAAAACATTTAAAGCTGTGTCTATGTCCAAATCATCTAATCTTTCCGAATCTCTCTGAATCGATTCAGAGGATTCCAATTCAATTTGGAGAGATTAAAGGGTCTTCTGATTTGATTTGGATTCTGAGAGTCAGTGATTGAATTGGGCTGAATCTCTGCCGAATTGAATCAAGGACCGAAGCTTTGCAGGGCCCTACGAATCAAGTATTTAGACCCAGCTTTTCACAGGTTGCCACTAACTTTGTGATCAGCCCTTTCTGGATTCCTAACTTGAAATGGCTAGGGTCTTTAACTTGTAAAAAATACTGAGCACTCGCACAGCAATTAAAACAACGGGAGCTGTGCTATAAACATGGGGAGGTGGGGAAGAGAAGCTATAAAGCACTAAATGCCATGAAAAATCAGATCCTAAGTATCTCAACATGGGTATCCCAAATCAGTGGACATTTTAACCTTAGCCTTTCTTCACTTGCATTCCCCATGTATAAAATGCAATACTAGCACCATCTTAGAAGGAGGTGTGAAAAGAAAATAATGCTTGTGAAACACTGAGATACTATAGTAGTAAGCACCATAGAAAACTTATAATTCCTTACTCAGAGTGGGATTTGAAGAGTGATCATGTGGCTAGATACTGAACATTAAGGATAAAGTGGAATACTGAACAACTATTCTGTCTTTGAATACTATGTGGCCTATACACTGAATGAAGCAGGAGTCTTAGAAAAGATAATGTTGGTCTTGTAATTAAAAATGGTATCATAATTCATAAGCCAAACTGAGGTGTCTTAGATAACTTTAACTCTGCCATTCCTAATTCCTGAGTTCTTGATGTACAAATTTTACTTTACAACAAGTTTTCTGGTGTGCAATCATGCATACAGTTAATTATCCAAGGAAATTATAAATGGAGTAAAAAGAATTAAACTTGAGAGTTATTTAATCAGCTGTTGTAAGGCAGAGGGCAGTATAGGCTGCCTGATGGACCTATTTTCTGCTTTCAAATTCTAGGAATCCTGAGGGATTTTTTTGCACAGAAGCAAGTAAGGGAAACTGCGTCTTCTTGTAGGTATCCATTGTTACAGTGGAGATCAAAAAGAAGCCTACATTTCCTCAAAACAGATTTTCATGAGGATGGTCTGGAAGGAGAGAACAGAAACAGCCAGTACGTCTGAAAGGCAAAAGCGCTAAGGGACAGTGTTGGGGAATCTCAGAGTAGCCAGCAAGTGAAATATAGTGAAACCTATGGTAAGCCCACTAATATAACAAGAATTGGAAAGTACAACTGAACAATATCCAATCCAAGTAGCTAAGCAATCCACAGCACGTAAGGAATGCATTCCAAACACATTGCCCACAGCCATAAACAAGGCGGATGACGTTGGAATGTGAGAAGTATACTACAATTCAGTCCCACGGAAGGGAGTAACTATCTATACAGTTATGGAAGTTAAGAACCAGTCTATATATTTTACTATGTTACCAGGTGCAAGCAAGTTGATTTGATAAGGATACAGGTTTGGGGGTGTGATTTGTTTGTTTTTTGTATGTGTGTGTGTCACAGGAGAGCAAAATACTCTATTTATATCTTTCTAAGGAAATAAAAGGATTTCCCAAATAGTACTAAAAACAAATAATAAGCTTGACGTATTTAAGCACTAACCTTATACCTTCAGGATCTTTTATTGCATTTAATTTCAACAGTTTCATTTGTTCATTTTTTTCAAGTGTAGGTTCCTTTTGTTTTTCATATTCATCTGTAGCATATGGTGCACCTTTTGATATCTAAAAAGAGTACAACATAATATGGTAATAGCACATCTTGTAGAAAGGCATCATAAATAAAAAAACCAAAACTATTTCTGTACAGAGGAAGGGAATGGGGTGGGAGGGTTTTGGTTTTTTTTTAAATTATGTCCAGTGATCAGAACAGTCGTTTCTGCAAATCATTTTTTTCCTTTAATGGGTAAACTTTTCTTATTCAATGACTGGTGGTTATTTCCCACAATATAAATAGCAAACATTTTATATTCAAGCAGTCAAACGTGATAATGAAAGGCACTATGAAAAACCTTGGCAAACACTGTGATAACACTTCCCATTTATTTACCTCCTTTTAAATTAGCATAGAAATTATTCTGTTACTATACAAGGAGAATTAGATACAGTGTGCAGTGTATCAAGAATCAAAACTGGAGAAAGGAAAGTATGATTTGAGTAGCAGTTTTTTTCTGTGGATCATTTTGGCAATTCTAAACAAATTAAATAATCATATAACAGGAGATTTTCAAAGGCAAAAAGAGTAGTTTGGATCAGAGTCCTTTGTAAATCAGTGGGAGTGGAGTGCTTAATTGAGTGTAAAGCATACAATTTTCCAGAAAGAAAAGTTGTTTCAATCTCTTCAAATATGGTAAAATATTATTGGACTGTATTAAACATCAAGATTAATTTTAAAACTAATCTTGGCTACAGACCAAAATAGTAAAACAATTCATGAACTGAAAAATACTAATAGTTGTCAAAACTTAATATATTAACAAAGAGAGAAACTTTTAAGATAATTAATCATGCTTAGGTCAATGGCAAAACTCCTACTGAATTCAATAGGCCAGGATTAGTGGTAGTGGATGGGTCATTTTCGACCTGGAGGGATGTGGGCAGTGGGGTCCCCCAGCGCTCAGTCCTTGGGCCCGCACTGTTCGACATCTTCATCAGTGACTTGGACGAGGGGGTAAAAGGCACCCTGTTCAAATTTGCTGATGGCACTAAGATGTGGGGGCATGCGGGCATGCTAGAAGGGAGGAATAGGCTGCAATCGGACCTAGACAGGTTACAGGGGTGGGCGGATGAGTATAGGATGGGTTTCAGCACTGACAAGTGCAAGGTGATGCACCTGGGGAGGAACAACCAGCACCATACCTACAGGCTGGGGAACTCCCTTCTCGTCAGTACAGAGGGAGAAAAGGATCTTGGAGTCATCACTGATGCCAAGATGAACAGGGCCGGCAGTGTGGGGATGCAGTCAGGAAGGCCAACCGTACCTTGTCATGCATCCACAGATGCATCTCAAGCAGATCCAAGGTGATCCTCCCCCTCTATGCGACCCTGGTCAGGCTGCAGCTGGAGTACTGCATCCAGTTCTGGGTGCCGCACTTCAAGAGGGATGTGGACAACATGGAGAGGGTCCAGAGGAGGGCCACTCGCATGATTGGGGGCAGCAGGGCAGGCCCTATGAGAGGCTATGGGACCTGAACCTGTTCAGCCTCCAAAAGAGAAGGCTGAGGGGGGATCTAGTGGCCTGTAACAAACTAGTCAGAGGGAACCAGCAGGCACTGGGGGAGTCCCTGTTCCCCTGAGCACTACCAGGAGTGACTAGAAATAACGGTCACAAGCTGGCAGAGGGTAAATTCAGACTAGACATCAGGAAGCGCTTCAGGAAGTGCTACTTCACAGTCAGGGAGGCTAGGATCTGGAACCAACTTCCAAGAGAAGTGGTGCTGGCTCCTACCCTGGAGATCTTTAAGACAAGGCTAAACAGACACCTTGTTGTGGGGTTGTTTGACCCCAGAACTCTTTCCTGCCAAAGCAGGGGGTCGGACTTGATGATCTGCTCAGGTCCCTTCCGACCCTGCTAACTATGAAACTATGATTTAATGTTATGTTTTCATCATTACTAGCCACACACACATACATGTGCCCGCACGTGTGCATGTATGTTTATTCTTTTAAATTATGTGAGTAAACTGAATGTTTATGAAGGTGACAGTCTGGCTGAATGCGACCCTGGTCAGGCTGCAGCTGGAGTACTGCATCCAGTTCTGGAGGCGGAAAAGGATCTTGGAGTCATCATTGACTCCAAGATGAACATGGGTCAGCAGTGTGGGGAGGCAGTTAGGAAGGCCAACCGCACCTTGTCATGCATCCACAGATGCATCTTGAGCAGGTCCAAAGAGGTGATCCTCCCCCTCTATGCGGCACTGGTCAGGCCGCAGTTGGAGTACTGCGTCCAGTTCTGGGTGCTGCACTTCAAGAGGGATGTGGACAGTATGGAGAGGGTCCAGAGGAAGGCCACTCGCATGATTAGGGGACAGCAGGGCAGGCCCTATGAGGAGAGGCTACGGGACCTGAACCTGTTCATCCTCCACAAGAGAAGGCTGAGGGGGGATCTTGTGGCCTGTTATAAACTAGTCAGGG